ATTTAACAAGACATTTTGGATATCTTTTCATATCTGTGCATATAGCTCTGACATATTGCTTTTAAAAAGTGCACAATTTTAATCAATTAAGTCTACATCATTGTAGTAGTTCATTCTCATGCTGCTCTTAAGAACTGCCTGAGTTTATAAAGGAAAGACGTTTAATTGGCTTGCAGTTCTGCAGGGCTGGGGAGGCCTCAGGAAACTTATCGTGGCAGAAGGTGAAGCAATAATGTCCTTCTTCACATGGTGGCAACGAGACGTGCCAAGCAAAAGGGGAAAAGCCCCTTATGAAACCATCAGACCTCATGGGAACTCATAGATTATCACAAGAACAGCATGGAGGTAACTGTCCCCATGATTCAATGACCTCCCACTGGGTCCCTCCCATGATGCATGGGAATTATGGGAACTACAATTCAAGGTGAGATTTTGATGAGGACACACCCAAACCATATCAATAGTGTAATTTATTTAACCTTCTATTGACTGGTGATATTTTTCATATGAATCCTAAAAGAAACTAATTTCTATGCATTATATGATTTAATCTTCACTAAGACCTGCATCCCTTAGATGCCAAACTAAGGCTCTTTCATCTACTTTATGGTGGTTCCCTGTATAACAGACACCAATGTGTAATTTTTGATATATTTTTTCTGTGACAATTGACCTCCTCCAATTTTAGCTGTGCTAATTTTCATTACATATAAGTTTTTACTTTGTGAATGATTAAATGTGTAGATCTTTTTATTTTTGATAACTTGTTTATTGCTTTAAAGCTAAGGAAATTATTTGAATGTTCTAGTTTCAATAGCTAAAGGAAGTATTTGGAATCCTATTCCTTGTTTGCAATTTTCCAGTTGCTGAATAAAAATAGCAGCAATCCTCTACTGATGAGTGAATTAGTTTTTGGATAATGGCTAAAAAAATGAGCCAACAGAAGATGGTTTTACCTCCTATGGATACAGCACGGCATTATAAATTGAGATTCTGTTCTTGAAGTCTACTTCATTTCATAAATTCATATATTTACCAAAACTGATTATGTTCTTTTTTTGTTTGATTATATTTATTTTTTTCCACCTGGCCTGGCTAATAGGGTATATATCTGGGTTCTAGCACTTCTATTTGAGGAGGGAAGGTTCCCTAAGTCCTTCAACTTACTGCAGTCTTTTGGGGGTCATTATAGGACAGGTGCCGTCAATTTTATAAAATACACAAAAAACCTAAGGGAAAAAAAAAATCTTCCCCCCTTGAACTGTGACTCTGTTTCTAACATCCCCAGTGAGGTTCAGGCTAGACAAAGAGTTAAAATCAATGCTATTTCCCACTTGGACAAACAAAATGTGCAGGAGCCTGAGAGATCCACCTCTGAGTTTAGCTTATTGTTATTCAGTTTCCATTCTAATACAGTTTCTTCCTTGCTCAATATCAGTTTATAAAAGCATGTTACCTGTCCAATGACCCCAGATAACTAAATAAATCCCACTTTGTAATCATGGAACTAAGTCCCAGTTTGTATTTGTACAAATGCCTGCCAAAGATGGATACAAGGAATTTAAAATAAATCAACTGTAAAATCCACATATCTTAGTGGAATGAAAATAGGAATGAGTCCAGTTCACCGTCGCTCTCTCATACACACTTGCATGCACATGCACATATACACATGTGTGCGCACACACACACAGCATGGTACATTAGTACTTTTCTTTGTTGGATACGTGTTTTGGTTTTGGAGTTGGTTATAGGGTTTGGTGTGCTGAACCCCAGAGAACCGCATTTACTTCTGTTTTTGCATGTACCTTTGTGACATGTACCTTTGTGGTGATTTTATGCTGGTCAGATTTTCCGTTTGCATGAGGTGACAGCATTCAGCAAGTTATAAGTCCCTGAGATGGACATTTTGGCAGGTCTTTTTCATACATTTCCTGTAGAAGTTTTAAATTATGTTCACAATGAGGCTTAAAATTACTTCTTTCTCAAGGAAAGGGGATATAATCCAGAGGGTTTATAAGCAGCATTTGATGAAAGTCTTTGAAGAGAAAGTAAAAATCAGTTCATTTTAATGATTGGTAATCAAAAAAGATAAACCATCATTAAATTCTAAGATCTGGTGTAGTGAGACTGAGGGAAAAAAAAAAAAACACAAAGTACCTCATAGATGCACTGCTGATAATGTATTCTAAGTTTTTTTCTTTTTCGGTAGATCATCCTGAGCATATTAGCCTCAGGTTGCTGGAAATCAAAATAATGGCATGGTGATTGTTAAGGGTCCATGTTATATAAGGGTGTTCTGATATTGAAATGAATATTTCACTTCTTGTTTCTGAAAAGTGAATGTTGGTAGGTTGCGTTTTGAATGCCTTTTGAATATTTTAATAGAACTGGGCTCTATCTAGGAGGAAGTAAAAGTGTCTCTGTGTCAGGCGCCGCAGTTCTGCTTCTTGGTTGTAAACTTACTTCCTAGTAGCATCAGTTCAAGATATATTCTCATCGAAATAAATTTCCCTTTAATGTTCTGACATGCTGATTGTGAAAAGACAGTGTGAGAATTCAGCCTGGAGGCTTGCTCTGGCAGTGAGAGAAGTGTATCCTGTGTTGTATGTGTGTGTATGTGTTTTAAAGGCTATTTTTAGAGACAAATTAGTACTAACAGGGTATACAGTATAAGAGGAGACCCGTGGTGAGGTCACAAGGTCCTGAAATCTTCCTAGAAGTGAGTCATAACTCATTCCAAGTGACAGGAAACAGGTCCTAGGGGCTGAAGAAGGGATGTGAATGAGACCTGATTTAAAGTTAACCTTTTCGATTATCTGTCAAAAATTACTAAGCAAAACAGTTATATGAATATCGGTACATAAAATACTTTCTTCTTATTTGAGTGAACCAGCTGCTCTCAGACTCTTAATAGTAGCCATATCTAGAGATGTAAATTAGAATGTCAATTGCAAATCATTCTTACCTTCTCATCACATTAGACCACAGATAAATTGTGTAAACTATTTGAAAGTAATTAAATTTCTAATCTAAAGATTTAGATTCAGAGTTAGCAAATTATTTCCCTTGTAAAGCACCAGATAGTAAATATTTTAGGATTCGTAGCCCATGCAGTTCCTGGTCTCTATCACAGGTTCTCAACTCTCTCATTTTAGTTCAAAAGCAGCAACAGACAATGTGTGAATGAATGATTGTGGCTGTGCTAAAATAACTTTATTTGAGGACATTGAAATTTGGGGGTTTTATATAATTTTCATGTGTCACAAAGTACAATTTTTTAGATTTTTGTCAACTATTCAAAAATTTAAACTACTCTGTTTGCGGGATTATACAAAAACAGGCTGTGGGTCAGATTTGAACAGTGGGCTGCAGTTTGCTGACCTCAGTTTTAGATAATTTAGAGTAACCACTGATTTTTGTTTCTTTGTACATTGGTGTAAAGATTCACTTATCGCACATTTTCTATATAATTTCTAAGAAAAAAATGAATGATATTTTTAAAGGACAAAATATTTTCTCCCACAAAATAATTGGCCACTGACATTTTTTTTTTCCTGCTGGTAATTGATTTTTCAGAGAAGTGAGCACTGCATCTTTGTGTTATGTTCTCTCCCCAGATTCCAATACGAGAAATATATTTATTTGGTTTTATGTTAAAATGCAAATGCCATCTTTTCCAGTGAACTGCCATTAAAGATACAGGAGAAAGAATGTATATTCTGGGAATGTAGGGGCATGGCCTCAAGTTACCAATTTGATAAATTGTTTCTGAAATCTAGTGCTTTATCTTAAATTATTATGTCAGTTCTGCATTCTATACCACTGGATATCGATGTTTATTTCAGTACACACAAACTCTTGTAACTCACTGAACAAATATGAGGTAATTCTGTGACTTGCTGTATTGCCAGCAGACCCCGGAGCTCTGGGCATACCTTAGGTTAAGGAACACAGAATTGAGGCAAACTTATTGTACATCAGTACCAGGGTGGTGGCTTCAGGGCAGGCTTTAAATGGTAAAGAGGGATTACATATGAGCATCCCAGTTGTCTTGTATACTTACCCGAATGGCCCCTATTCCCTTGACCCATGGCTTCTACTTGCACACCTAACTCCAGCCCAAGGTGGGAGAATGACATGATCACTGTCTTTGAAGACAGAGAGAAAAGGGTTCTAATTTTTACTGTTCCATGTGTAGTTAGACTAGTTATTGAGTAAAATTTTGTCATCTGAAAAATGAAGGTAGGATTTATGATCCTTTGGTTACAAGCCAATGACTTTTGCTAAAATAATTCAAAAGGGATATATCAGAAAACTGCTGGAGGATGTGACAAACGAAACAATAAAATATCTGGTTGGAGGAAGACAAAGGAGAGAAACAAGAGGCAATTTGCTTTCCAGGGCATTTTGTTGAGCAACTATGAGATGCTGTGGTTAAGAAGCCATTCAGTTTGCTTGGGAGAGTTCTGGTTTATACCTGTTGTACTAGCATAATTACACAAAGGTCCCCTTTCACCTTCATAAATGTCTGTTCACATGACGCATGTTCACATGACACATTGCCATCTTAAAGGACTCAGAAGTTTGATCTCACTTCTGACTGCCAGTTGGCCTTGCTCTTTTTTCCTTACACTGCAGGATCTAGTTTTGTTCCCCGTGTTCAGAGCCAAGCCGTGAACTCTAGCACCAATTCTGTATTATTCCAGAGCCGCCTGGTGGGCATATCCACTATCAGCAGGAAGTAAGGAGAGAGATGGGCACACCAGACAGCTACAATACTGAGTCTCAGGTCCTCACATTCCTTTTTGTCTGGGAATGGAATTAGATGGTGATATGGTACCGATTTGTGTCCCCACTCAAATCTCACGATGAATTATAATCCTCAGCGTTGGAGGTGGGGCTTGGTGGGAGGTGACTGGATCATGGGGGTGGATTTCTCCCTTGCTGTTCTCGTGATCATGAATGCCTTCTCATAAGATCTGGCGGTTTAAGTGCCTGCTTCCCCTTTGCCTTTCATCATGACTGTAGGTTTCCTGATGCCTCCCCAGCCATGCTTCGTGTATAGCCTGCAGAGCCATTACTCAATTCAACGTCTTTCCTTTATAAATTACCCAGTTTCCGGTATTTCTTAATAGCAACATGAGAACAAGACTAATACAGATGGGACAATCCATAGTATTTTGAAATTTGTCACTATTCCTTATACACATTTGTGCTTCTTCAGTCTGATCTCCATACTGTTACTGGAGATGGCTTTCTGAAACACAGCTTTCTCTAAAGCCCTATTTGACTCCTCATTGACACCGAAGAAAAATAAAAACTTCTCATCTTGACATGCAGAGCCTTTGATGGCCCAGCTTCTGTCTTCTGTGTGTCCTCCCTCAGTAACCTACACCTTCTCTATACTGTAGCCTCCCCTAATTCAGTGGGTTGCAGTCCTTTTTGTGCCATACTCTTGCCCTCCTGTGGCTGGGCACATTCTGGCTGGAATGTTTTGCCCTACCAGCATTGTGCTGGTTTTTCCTTTCATAATCAGAGTAGAAGGTGGCTTTCTTTTCTTACTAGTTCTTTTTTCTCTTCTAGTTTAGTTATCTTTCATTCCAATCCCATAATTCCCTTGATAGACTTCAATTCCAAAATGTGGGACCCTAAATTTCATTTGATAGTTTCCCTGTCTTTCTCTCTCACTAGGTTATTGGCTTCTGGAGGCAGAGACCATAACTTTCACCTCTGTAAATAGTGGAATGGTACATAGCAGCCGAATGACAGTTGGTTAAGTGGTTAAGTGGCCTGCATGAGAAAGAAGTGTTACTTCTGGGAGGAGAAACACAGAAGGGAGTCTTAGACCCGGTCTATTTTGTCCTGTAAGGACTAGAACAGGAGGGTTGTATTAAATTAATCAAGCTCCATAATAAAGCAGGCGTTGGAAAGTGGGAAATTGTTTAGAGAAGAATGTCTGAGAGAGTCTTGGAAAATATAAGGAGTGCATTTTGGAAAATGAAGACAGTAATAAACAATGATATTTACAGGGAATTGAAGTTAAAGTGCCTGCAGTGATATTAACTGAAAAGAAAAGGGTAAGTCACTGGACAGGAAGCACACAGTCCGCCCAAGGAAAGCTGTGAGGGCTGTGGACTGACTAAGGAACAGACAAATATGAATGGGAAACAGAATCCAAATACATTCGTGAAAAAAGTAACAGTGGCTGTCCCTGATGACAGGTGATGTTCCTAACAATTTTTAAATAATTACCTAGTATTAGATACATGGTGTGGGGGGCTGTACATAGATTTTTTTTTCCTCTTAATTCAAACAAAATAGAACAGAGAATTCTTGTGTGGAGAAGACTCAAGGGGCAGAGGAGGAGTTAGGAGAGCTATTTTCAAATATTTATTGGGTCATGATGTGGAAAAGAGATTAGAATTATTCTGCATGATTTAATTAGAACTACTTACTGAAAAGCTAGACAAAGGTACAGTTTAGGCCGGGCGCGGTGGCTCACGCCTGTAATCCCAGCACTTTGGGAGGCCGAGGCGGGTGGATCACGAGGTCAAGAGATCGAGACCATCCTGGTCAACATGGTGAAACCCCGTCTCTACTAAAAATACAAAAAATTAGCTGGGCATGGTGATGCGTGCCTGTAATCCCAGCTACTCAGGAGGCTGAGGCAGGAGAATTGCCTGAACCCAGGAGGCGGAGGTTGCGGTGAGCCGAGATCGCGGCATTGCACTCCAGCCTGGGTAACATGAGTGAAACTCCATCTCAAAAAAAAAAAAAAAAAAAGGTACAGTTTAGCTCATATTAAGCAAGTGTTATGTCTCTATGGTGTTAAAAGATAATTTCTAATTAAAGGTAAATTCATGACTCATAGAATAAAAATAAATACGTGTCAAAAATCTTAACTCATGAATGAGGAAACTGGTGAGGTATTATAACCAGTTCCAAGGCAAATGTAAAGAATAAACAAATTTAGATTTGTAAAATAGTTCCCAAGGAGTCAGAATCAGATATGACATAATTTTCCATTGAATCCCCAAGTTTCCCCTATGGTGTCTCTTTTTGACCAAAAATATCAAAGAAATACTATTCTCGATCTGTAGCGTGAACCGTGGTGGCCTGTTTCCATGTTGTGTTTGGCACCAGGAATGACCCGGGAGTAGCCAAATGATGACCTGTTGCGGATACTGTAGAAAAAGTTTACTCATAGGATAGCTGGTTTGCCTGGACGACTTTAAAGATAGTTAATAACTTTAAATTTCTAAGATATTACTTCACCACTCAGGGAGCCAGCTCCTGAACCTGTATCACTACAGCCGGGTCCTTTTACAAATTCAAGTTCCTGTTAATACAAACAACTACCCTTCCCCTGCTGATGAGAGTTTACTGTGTTTCTCAGCGTGCCTTGAGAATCTACCTGCCCTTTAGATTCCAGTTCTCTCCTTATTTGTCTTACTTTCACCAACTAAAATATCTTCCTGTCTCTTAAAATCACTTTTGACTTGGAAAAAAAACAACTGTAGAAGGTAAGATTATGTGGGTTATTTAGGCTGGATCTTTACCTCCCCTAACCACCAAAAAAAAAAAAAAAAGAAATATTCAAGAGTTAACCCCCAGTACCTCACACTGTGACCTCATTTGAAAATAAGATGGTTGAATAAGTTAAAATGAGTTAAGATGAGGTCATACTGTAGTAGGTTGAGCCCCTAAAGTAATATGGTAGTATGGCCGGTGTCCTTTTAAAGGATGCCCATTGAAGACAGAGACACACAGGGAGAAGGCCATGTGATAATGAAAGCAGAGATTAGCGTGACATAGCTACAAGTCAAAGAATGCCAAACATCGCTGGGCAAACCACCAGAAGCAGAGAAGAGGCATGAAGGGGCTCTCCTATAGATTTCAGAGAGAATGCAGTCCTGATGCTACCTTGATTTTGGACTTCTTCCCTCTAGAACTGTAAGACAATAAATTTCTGTTGTTTCAAGCTACCTAGCGTGTGGTACTTTGTTACAACAGCCCAGGAAACTAATGTAGGGATATAGACAAATTTCTGTTCTATGGGCTGGCTCTGTGCGTCGTTCTAAATGTGAAGATCCCAGTGTAACATGTTATACAGATAGAATGCTTGACAATACAAGGCACTAATTAAATATTAGTCTCCTTCACTGTCTTTTTAAAAAAAATATTAGAGTCTGTAAATTATAAACCAAGTGACTGCATTACCACATAATGCAAGGAACATGACTTGGAATTAAATCTGATTTTAAATCCCAGCTCTGCCACTAGTTAGCTAGCTGTATGACTTCGGACAGTTTTGTTTTCTTTGTTTTATCTGGATAAAACCATCTTTCTGGTCAGGGTAAAGATGAGAAACAATGGCTGTGATCACCTGGTACACAGTAAGTGCCGATACTTAGTAACTACCGCAATTGTATTCTTCTTGCATGATGATTCTTATTATATTAGCTCTTCATGACTTGCATTGCTGCTAGGGAGTTTGTAATTGTTATAGTTGCTCAAACAATTGAATTTATAATCATTGCATTCATAAGGAGAAAGCTGACTGCTTTTAAAATTCTCTTTATATCCTGGACATTTTAAGACTTGAAAAATTAGTGCTTTCCACTTTTATTTTTGAACTGCTACTAAATTTAAAGGACTATTAATCCCCCATGTTTATGACTCACCAATTCATCATCAACACGATGCCTTTTAAAGCAATATGTGACTCAGGAGAAGCATGAACCAAGCGCCTGAGAGAATTTGAGGGTGGGGAGAAGATGGTTGCGTTGAGGATGGAGGAGGAGCATTTGGGTTTATTTTTCCTTTGAAGTGGAGCCTGAAAAGTTTTGCTGAAGAAAAGATATTTGAGCAAGTGCTTGAGTTTGATTTATTAATTTTCAGTGTATCTTAAACTTTGTTTTTCAAGCTCTTTTTATTTTACTCTCATATGAGCTGACAGCAGGAATGCCAAAGCACAGTAACACTGCCTTGTTTTTCATTTAGCTTTCCTCCCTACCCTCCAACATTATCTGAACAGTTGATTCTATATACCTGTCAATAAGAGACAGTGAAATAGTTCCTCGGAATTTACTTAGCTGAAAACTTTAACTGTCAGAGAATAGTACAGATGAATCCAGGGGCAAGAAAGCCTTTGAGCCAGTAATAAGAGCTACAAAAAGGATAAACAAGCCCAAAGAATATTGAAAGAGAGAGAGAGGGGAAGAGAGAGAGAGAAAGAGGAGAGAGGTGAGAGGGAAGAGGGGAGAAGGGTGAGGTGGGAGAGGGGAGAGGGTGAGACGGGAGAGGGGAGAGAGGAGAGGGGAGAGAGGAGAGGGGAGGAGAGAGAAGAGAGGAGAGAGTAGAGAGGAGAGAGGGGAGGGGGAGAGGAGAGAGGGGAGATGAGAGAGGGGAGAGAGGAGAGAGAGGAGAGAGGGGAGAAGGGAAAGGGGAGAGGGGAGAGAGGGGAAAGGAGAGGGGAGAGAGGAGAGAGGGTAGAGGAGAGAGGGGAGAGCAGAGGGGAAAGGGGAGAGGGGAGAGGAGAGAGGAGAGAAGGGAGAGGGGAGAGGAGAGAGGTGAGAGGGGAGAGGGGAGAGAGGAGAGAGGAGAGGGGAGAGGGGAGAGGGGAGAGAGGGTAGGGCAGAGAGGGGAGAGAGGGGAGAGGGGAGAGAGGGGAGAGGGGAGAGAGGAGAGAGGGGAGAGGGGAGAGGGGAGAGAAGAGAGTGGGGAGAGAGGAGAGGGGAGAAGAGAGAGAGGAGAGAGGGGTGAGGAAAGAGGGGAGAGGGGAGAGAGGAGAGGAGGGGAGAGGGGAGAGACAGAGGTGAGAGAGGGGAGAGGGGAGAGGAGAGAGTAGAGAGGAGAGAGGGGAGAGGGGAGAGGGGAGAGAGGAGAGAGGGGAGAGGGGAGAGGAGAGAGGGGAGAAGGGAAAGGGGAGAGGGGACAGGAAAGAGGGGAGAGGGGAGAGAGGGGAGAAAGGAGAGGGGAGAGGAGAGGGGAGAGAGGAGAGAGGGGAGAGAGGGTAGAGGAGAGAGGGGAGAGCAGAGGGGAAAGAGGAGAGGGGAGAGGAGAGAGGGGAGAGAGGGGAGAGGAGAGAAGGGAGAGCAGAGGGGAAAGGGGAGAGGGGAGAGGGGAGAGAGGGGAGAGGAGAGAGGAGAGAGGTGAGGGGGAGAGGAGAGAGGGGAGAGGACAAATAGGAGAGGGCTCAGGGGAGAGGGGAGAGGAGAGGAGGGGAGAGAGGAGAGAGGAGAGAGGGGAGAGAGGGGAGAGAGGGGAGAGGAGAGGGAGGCGGGGGAGGGGTAGTAGAGGGGAGGGGGAGGGGAGGAGGAGGGGGAAGGGAGGGGGGACGAGGAGGGGGAGGGGAGGGGGAAGGGACTAGGTTGAGGGAAGGAATAGGGGAGAGGGGAGAAAGGAAAGACAGAGAAATAACAGAAGGATAAATTACTGACTGTGGCCATGTAAAGGCAAACAGTCTTAAGAATGAGTCTTAACTGAGTGTATCCACTTAAGTGTATAAAGATCTGTAGTCATAAAGAAAATGATGCATTGGTTAGGCTGTGTGGCACACACCTGCAATCCCAGCACTTTCAGTGGGTGGCACATGCCTGTAATCTTGGCACTTTCAGAGACCGAGGTGGGCAGATCACTTGAGTGCAGGAGTTTGAGAGCAGCCTGGGCAGCATGGGCAACCTCATCTCAAGAGGAGGAAGAAGAAGAAGAGGAAGGGGAGGGGGAAGAGGAAGAAGAAGGATTAAATTTACTCCGAATAAAAGGGAAGTAAAATGTATTATGCAGTTAAGGAATTATTTTAATAGTGTTATCTTTTCCTTTTTAAATGTGAATATCTGAATCAGTTTCTCTCTTTAACCACTTAAGGACTGGGCTTAGATAGCAGAAGGCCACAAAAAGTGGCTCACCACTAAACTGCTATGTGCATGAGGGACAATGCGAGGAAGGGACAGTGCTCTCCTTGGGAGAGCTGTGGTTACACATATGCAACCCCTTAGATATTCGTTTGTGCATGTGTACATGTTCAGTGATGGAGTCTGGGAAGCAGGCTTTTTATGAAAAGTTTATGCTTCAATAGGCACTTACTGGACAGCGAAACTGTGTGAGGCCCAAGGGTGTTGAGGACAGTATGGAAATTCCCTTTTGAGACTGATTTTCTGAAATACCAGAGGCCACATTTCTGAGTGGCTAGTGCAAGTGGAAGAAATTTCCCCATGCCTGGGCCAGAAAGACAAGAAGCTAGTTCCTTCCTATCTCCAGAATTCTCAAAGAGAATAGTCTATATTCTTCCTTTCTTAAGACCTACACTGAACTCTATTACTATGCTCATGGAAATAGATCACATAGAATTCCCCTTGGCAGGAGGTGAGTACTCTTCTGCATACTGTACTGCTGATGGAATAAGCAGACTTCTCAGAAATATCCCAAGATTTCTGTGCCCTGGCATACACACCCTGTATCACCCCGTCTAATGTCTTCCGTTGGGTGTTGGCAGCCCTCATGAATATGATGGGATAGTCACTGCCTTGTTTATGTTACATTATATTAAACTCCATCATAACTGACAGAGAGAAACTCTCCTCCTGGCCTTAAAGGAGCAAACTGTCGTGTGTGGAGGTCACAGGGAAGGGAACAGTGCGAGGCCTCTAAATACTGAGCATGGCCCTTGATGGACTGCCAGGAAGAAAGTGAGAACCTTCGTCCTATAACTACAAGGAACTGAATTCTGCCGGCAACCAGTGAGCTTGGAAGAGGCATGAGATGGGATCAGACCCTGACTGACACCTTAATTTTAGCCTCATGAAACCCCAAGCACAGAGCCCACCTAGTCTATGCCGAACTCCTAACCATGGAGACTGTGGGATAAAGCATGTGAGTTGCTGTAAGCCACTGTATTTCTATTTATTTGTTATGCAACAGTTAAAAAATGAATACAATTCTAATTTCCAGGAACAGGGTATCAAGTCTCTTAGTTAATAAACAACAAACAAACAACAACAACAAAACCCACTCTGGGCGTAACCGCACCTCAAGGTGTCTTTGTTCCAGTAACTCACAAAAGATTTCTCCCCCACCCATTAGCACAGACTTCCACAGAACCAATGGGAGCCCTTTTATAGTTGGACATTGCCGTGGCCTACATGACTTTCTAGATGAGCCCAGCTGAGCTATTACTGATTTAGTGGAGCAGTTATTTTGTGCAATAACCGGTGACTGACTGAATGCCTATTGTTTTTATATTTCTGTTATGTATCCTTATAATGGTTTTTCTTAGGCCAATTGCAATCTCATATGTATTTCCCTGCCAAAGATTACCTTGATCTTGAATCTTTCTTTAGTTCCATGCTGCCCCCACCTTTCCCCAAAATGTACATTCTAAGGGGCCCTTTCAGCATATTACTTGTTTAAAGTGAATCCATGAAGATTTTTATATGCTTAGTGGAGGGAGAAAAGATCTTCCAGTAAAAATTTCCCATTGTTTTCCCACCCGAGTGTATCTTGCTCAGATAAAAGGGCATCACAAAGGCCGCCCTGGCATTCCTGCCAGCATTTCAGCATTCCATGACCCATCTGTCTCTTAAATTGGAAAACAATCTTACC